GGGTTATACTGTGGGGGAGGGACATACAAAGCAACAAAGAAATAATCTTATAAATGTGTTAGAAACACATGCATGAAAGAAAAAAAAACATTAAACTACCTATCTAAGGGTTCATTTTCCTAACATCACATTATCTGACCTTTTCCGCTTGACTAAGAAAATGTGGTATATATACACAATGGAATTCTATGCCTCCATCAGAAAGAAAGACATTGCCCCATTTGTTAGGAAGCAGTGATTTTTTGAGGGAAGTGGTTCCCCAGTCTTCCCTGGTTTTGTGTTTGTGTAAGAAGCAGAGAGACGGGGAATGGCAGGCAAGAATCAATTCCCATCCCCAGTTCTCACAGGAACTTGTTTGCAAAGGCTCTGGTCTCCTCCCAAGGAAACGGCCAGTCAGGCTTGTTTTCTTCCTTTCATGGGGTCAAGGAGCTGTGAGTTATGTGACACTGGGGTTTAATGGCCACACGTCGTCCAGAATTTATCCCTTGCTTGACATTTATAGAGGAAGCATGGATACACGGAGGCGTGCTGCATTTGAGATTTTCTGTGAGTAGGAATCAACAAGAATGCCATAAAACCAAACAGGGCACTGCGGTGGGATTAGACCTGCAACAGTGAAGCAAAATGTGAACCAAATACACCATCTCTCTTCAAGGATGTCCATGTTACTTCGCATCCTCGGAGACTTACGACATCCTCTAAATGAAGATTAACATGTGTGGATGTTGTCACAGATTAAAAAAAAAAAAAAAACTGATGAGCGATCTTCTGGACACTTCACTAGTTCCATAATGGGAGTAGATGTTAGCACCAGGAATTCTGCTTCTGGAAATAAGCCAGGCATAAACAACAGGAGTGAGTGGAGGGTCATTCCGTGTTTTCAGAAATTGGAAGACGTTTTGGAAATGGCACTGTGGCTCAAGCGGTAGAGTGCTCGCCTTGAGCTGAAGAGCTCAGGGACAGCCCCCAGGCCCAGAGTTCAAACCTCACAACTGACCAGAAATTGGAAGATGTTTTGGTTCAGAATAAAAGCCTAGGTGACCAACAGCAGACACTGGGTGTGGTGGCGACTTCTGTTTGGGTTGGTCTTTTGGCCACTGGTCTGTTTCACATCCCATGAAACCACAGTTAACAGACATTGGGAGAGACCCCTCCCCTCTTCCATTTGACAGCCACACAGATCTGGGTCCAGTCCATCTATCTACCATTCACAGAGAGGGACATGTAAAACACAGAAATGAAGGAATGCATGTGGCACCTTAGGGTGCAAACACAGCAGAGGAGCACCAGCCTACACAGGTCTAGGACCACTTAGCCCAACGGCCTGGCCTTTCCAGCTAACTTTTTGTCCTCCTAATAAGGGCCTGGCCCTGCTGAATATACCTGTGATTTCTTTTATTTCCTTTCCTTTTTTAAAAATTATCTTTAAGTAGTTGTACAAAAGAGTTGCCATTTAACAAGGCAATATATGAATACAATGCATCTTCATCAGTGTCACCCCTTTTCAGTGTTCTCCCCCATCCCTCCCCTCCCCCACCCTGCCCTCATTCTTCTTAATTTTGCAGGGTATACATTGAATCCTTAGCTGCATTCTCCTTTTTCTCCACCCCATAACTCCCTTTCAAGTACCTTACCCGTTTCAATTACCATCTTCTTGGTGTTTTATTTTTCTGGACTTTGACTTTGCCATTTGATGGAATTACACTATTTGGGTTCCCCCTTGGAACTACCATATTTCATTCATATATTTGTATGTAGTTGCATACCACCCAACATATTTGCTTATAAGCAAAATCTAGCTTCCACATATAAGAGAAAGCATGCATCCTTTGTCTCTCTTGGCCTGGCTTACTTCACTTGAACATAATTTTTTTCCTGATATTTTCATTTCTTTACAAATAGTACAATGTCATTCTTTCTAATATTTTTTTGTGTGTTGGAGATCAAACTAGGGTAGTACATGGAAGCACACATTCTACCACTGAGCTACACTCCCAACCCTCCTTACTGTTAATGTAGACATGAAACACTATCTGATAGGGGAAAGTCTCACATACAAAAATGTAGGAAACACACTGTATGTTATATTCCATCATAACTTTTTATGCATTTGTGGGCTCTGATGGCTTTAGGAAAGGAGTACAAGCCACTTAAGATTCTTGGAAATAACGAAAGCTGGAGCATTAGCCTTGTGATGTAGAAGGCTCCGTATGTCCATGCTGTGAGCCATGGTAAAATATTTATGACCTTCTGTAGCACTCGGCAGGAATAAAAGCAGCAGTGGACATGTGGCATCATGGAATCCCACCTGCTGGCCCTCGAGGGCAGCTTTGTGGACCTAACGCTGGAATTCTGTAGCTTAGCAAAGCATTGCAAATTGCTTGTGGAATTAGACAGCATTTACAATATGACAGTTCTGTATGTAATGGTCTGTGAGATTTGAGTCATATTTTTTTAAGTGTGTGCTATTTGGCATGTTCAAATCCTTTAGAGTGTGCAAGGAAGGAAAAAAGATTTCTTACATTCTACTGGGATTGCATCTCTCTGTAACTCAGAGGGTCCCATGGCTTGAGGCAGAAAGCCCATGATTGTATGGACATATGGCAAACTCGCGAGCATGAGGGACAGTGGCCATGGGACTGAGGGAGGGGCTAACCTGAATGAGATTCCTACCCCTCCCCTCCGTGCGCATCTCCTAGAAGTGCACATGTGACATTGAAAAGTGCACTGTTTTCTTTTCTGATGCTGTTTTTTTGAGAGTGGCTTGTTTATGTTTACATTACCACTTCACTTTACCCACTTTGCCTTCTACTCTTCTGTTCCTCTCCTCTGCTTGTTCTCCGAGCCCTGGTGGGTTGCACACTTCATCATCAGAGCCCTGTTGTATTGCATGCCTCATCATCTTTGATGTTTATTATGGGCATTTCTCTCCTGACAAACTTGAAAGAATGTTTCTTTTGCTTTTAAGAAAAAGAACATGAAAGGTTGTTTTGGACAATAGACATATCCAGATATTCATCATACAAAGTCATTGATGGTCTTTAATAAAATAGTGGCAATCTAGTACTCAAGACCTTAATAAATATCTAGCCCACTCTCGACTCAACTGCCATAATACAATCAATATAAAATTGATCCACATCAAGAAACAAATTGTTATGTGGTTTGTTTTACTGCACCATCAAAGAAACCTTTTTGCAATATCATATATCAGCAAAATTGAGAGTTACTGGGCACTAAGTAAATCCAATACCCTCTTTCTAAATTCATTT